CTGTAACATGAAGACGCGGTATTCTAGCTCAATACCGCTTGGTTTGCTTTTTAGCATACACCCGCAGATAAATAGCGAATACTTTACAATTGCGATTCACGATTAGATAGTACTGCTTTGCATTTTGCATCTATGGTGAATCATGTTATTTTGTAATTTCCTTTTCATTATCATTATAATATTTTATAATGATAAGCCAAACATGAGAAAATGATAAAGTTGAAATTGTGATGTTCAAAACATGAATTAATTATAATAAAATCGTGGATCTGTGAAGTGAAAGTTAAAATAATTGTGAAATCACGAAGATGAAATCGGGATTGTCCACACAGCAATTAAATTTTACGTTGATATATGTCCTATAAAAATAGGCTATATATACATGTAATATAATACATGTACTTGCATATGTAAAAAAAACAATGATATCTCATTCATTCATTCATTCATTCATTCATTCATTCATTCATTCATTCATTCATTCATTCATTCATTCATTCATTCATTCATTCATTCATTCATTCATTCATTCATTCATTGAATCAATCAACCAATCATTCATTCATTCATTCTATTATTCATTCATTCATTCATTCATTCATTCATTCATTCATTCATTTATTTATTTATTTATTTATTTATTTATTTATTTATTTATTTATTTATTTATTTATTTATTTATTTATTTATTCATTCATTCATTCATTCATTCATATATTACTCATTTATTCATATATTTATTTATTTATTTATTTATTTATTTATTTATTTATTTATTTATTTATTTATTTATTTATTTATTTATTTATTTATTTAATCTTTTATTTCAGGAAACAAAGATTTGCGTTTCTGTACACAAGTTTTGAATAGAAATCTTATAAAGTTCCGAATTCCCCAATTTTGATTTCTTTTCGCGCGGTCTCATTTATGACATAATATTGTGTAATAGCCACGTGCTGTATTGCCAGAATCGAAGACAATACTGATTAAGCCGGATATTGATCCGGATATTGATCATAAACGCAGCAGGGTATATCGAGTGTCGGTTTTCTCCGATTAGGTAAGTTAGCGCAATTGGTGTTGAATGTCCTAACGGTATTTTTTTAATGTCAATTTCTAATATAATTCATGTACGAAATAAGGGAATTAAATTGTAATCCTATGTGATTTTGTTCTAAATATTATAAAGACTCTATCCCGACATATTAAAATGAAACAGACATAGCTGCTGTATTCTTTCCAATGCTTTTGCAGCGTCGTGTTGTTGTTATCCTTTAATTTGGCGGAATTCGTCATTTAAACAAGACACAATTAAGATTTATCTTAAAGTAAACTTTGAAGTACCCTGCCGCCAGGTCCAATTATATCTAAGTTCACAAGCTAGAATCAGATGGATGTCACTGGGGTGTATGTACATGTATTGTTGATAGATGATGTCAAATTATTCGAAATAGCATTTCTTGAAAAATATCATCATCATCTCCCAAGTTTCCTCGTCTCCTATCAGCCGTGTTTCTGCATAATTCGGTGACTTGAACATTGTTCAGGGCAGGGGAACATGGCCGTACTATTTAAATTAACATTTGTGACCTGGTTAAAATAAAATTATGTATCTTGGAAACAGTTTTTGTAAAAGTAAATTTCTGTTTAAAAAAATAAAAATTGTCGTAGTTTGATTTAAAAACTCAAGTTAAGAACATACTAAATTATATATTGATAGTAAAATCACTTTTTAAATTGGACTTTCCAATTTTTACCGATACTCCAAATATTTTTATACTAATAAAGTTTTATTTTAATTATGAAATCCGTAGATAATGTGAAAAGATCTTTATACTTCATTTATGTGTATAAGTAAGTAAGTAAGTAATTTATTTATTTTAATTGGGATACGGACAAAAGCCCCCCTCCCATCTAAAAATGACAAGGTGGACAAAAGCCCCCCCCCCATGAAATTTACACGTAGGACAAAAGCCCCCCCCCCCAGTCCATCAAACAATTGTTATTGAGAATCACGTCAGTTTAAATCTGGAACTTGATGTATTTTAACAAATAAATGCAATTGGTATAAAAGATAATTTACATTTAGATTTAAATTTAAAGGTACCAAAGGTCTAATTTGATTTATTGTGTAATTCGTACTTATATAATTCATTGATGATATGATTGTTTTTATGTTTTCTTTATTATATATTGTGCAGTACAAATGTAAATGAATATTTTCAGAGAATCGCTTTTCAAAGCTTATCAAGAAAATAAAAGTGAAAGGCGCATACTTGTCTAGATTTATTTGAAGTATAACCCAAGTTCCCGAACACTGGCCAGTAATCAGTCTGGTCTATACACCTTAGGGAGGTTTTTGTTTGATGGACTGGGGGGGGGGGGGACTTTTGTCCTATGTGTAAATTCAACGTGGGTCTTTTGTTTTACCCGCTTATTGTTGTTGTCACAAAAATTTGTGTAATTTATAAATATTTCTTAGGGATTCTAAAACGTCTTTTATTATTATTATTATTATTATTATTATTATTATTATTATTATTATTATTATTATTATTATTATTATTATTATTATTATTATTATTATTATTATTATCATCATCATTATCATCATTATCATCATTATATTATTATTATCACTATTATCATCATCCTCATCATCATCATAATTATTATTATTATTATTATTATTATTATTATTATTATTATTATTATTATTATTATTATTATTATTATTATTATTATTATATTATTATTATTATATTATTATAATTATTAAAAAAAAAGTTTTGCCTATGAAAAAGTATCAATAGTTATGTTTTACATGTATGCAAAGTTATCGTTTATGGATACATGATATTTCCAATTTAATACATGTAATATTGCATTTTTTTGATCGAATAAAGGTCTTAGTATGCTGCTTTCTTCCACATTATCACCTACCTTAATATAAATCAGTGGCATTATTAATGCTACAAAAGGTATCTAGGCATATCACGCGTTTTCAAAACAGCCAATGAGTTTAAGGCGTTGGTTTGGTATCACGTGAATCCTATCAACCAATCAGAAAAAGCGCGGGCGAAATGAAAAAAGAAAAAACGGGATTGGAAATGGATAGTAAATAAAATGCAGAATTTTGCAAAACAAGGTAGGTTAAAAGTTATTTTTTTATCGTTGCAATATCAATATGCGATCAATAGAATAGTTGCATTTTGTGAACAACAGCTTATTTCAGGGTTAAACTGATTTGTTTTTAGAAAACTTTAACACTGTTTAATCTGTTTCGCTATCCAATATGGCCGCCGGATTAGATTACTAAAGCAGGGATATATCCCTAAATTTAGACTGGGAGGTTACGAGTTTGATTTTGATTTCTAAACTGTATCTTGTTCAATTAATAATTTGTATGAAAAATGCAAAAACAAAAAAATGAAAAGGGCATTTGTTAAATGCGTTAATCATAACTTCCCTTCAGGGTAAAAAAGACACCAAGTTAAAAATAACGACATTTAAACACCGAAGATGTCAAGGTATTACAGCCCCTGGACATGGTAGTACAAAGGGATTAATCAGTGTGTGTGACACGACCTATGTATGCTTGATTGGTTAACTAATTGGACTTTATAATCTTGAGCGATCTCAATTATCACTTAACAGCAGGGGTGCGAATCAAATTATTTATTATGTGCAAGAAAGATCATATCGAAAAGAGACACTCAAATTCTATTTATTTTAATAGTAATTTATGAAATTGATAGCCGAAAAATAGGTTATGTTTTATCTATTCAATATAATAACAAAAATTATCAGTTTTAACAGATTTACATATTTTAAAAGAAAATTGGTTAGTACTTCTAAAAATAGGTTTATAAATTTTAAGATAAAATTGTTTCTCAGTCTTGATAATTTAACGAGCAGAATACTTGTTTTATGTTCGCAGTTTTTATTTTTATACAAATCCCCATTAATTGATGCAAACATAAGTCAATTTAAAAACTCCGCTCTTTTCAATAATTTACTTTTTTTAAGTTTCTGTACACATGTTGTTATATTTCTTATTTATATTAACCTATTCTTAAATGAATACAAATCTTAAACAAAAATAGGAAACAAACATTTCTTTTTTTATTTAAATCATTATACATTTAGACGAATAAATAAAATGAAAATAATTGTCAGAATGTTTTATTTACATTAATAAAAAGAATGTGTATGATTGCATGTAATATGGCCGACAGGTGTTTAGTTAAACGGTGAACTGTTAATTCACTTACCCTTGGTGACAAAATATATGAGCCGCGTCACGCCAAAACCAACATAATGGGTTTGCGACCTGCATGGATCCAGACCAGCCTGCGCTTCTGCGCAGTCTGATCAGGATCCACGCTGTTCGCTAACGGTTTCTCTACTTGTTATAGAGTTTGTAAGCGAACAGCATGGATCCTGATCAGACTACGCGGATGCGCAGGCTGGTCTGGCCATGCTGGTCGCAAACCCATTATGTTGGTTTTGTCGTGACGCGGCTCATACGTTTATTTTTACATTGATACGAAGCTTAGATCAGGAGCCTGTGGTCGGTGTAAGAATTTTAAAACTCGTGAATATAAAATATCGCAACGAACCAGAAGTTTTAAAACGGTTTTGTTTGTATTGTTTTAGCATTAATAGTAATTAGCAAGATCGAGTTTACTCGCAATTCAGGACAGGCAACTCTTGGTTTTCATTCGATATTTTTGGTTATTTATCTACGTTATTCAGGATTACCCAGATTTTAAATTGTATATACATGAACTGAGTTTTCGACATTTACAATGGAGTTTTTATTGGACAAATGAAAATTTAAATATTTTTTTCTTATTATAATTAAAACTCTTTGTTTAGTTTTTAAGATAAACATTACGCATAAGGTGATATCGCATGGGCCAGTCACAAACACGCGCCTGTTTGAGGAAACAGTTATTTAATATTTCCTTATTCATAAATTTAAACGCTTGAAAAACTGTATTGAGCCTTTGTACATCACACATTTTTTGACATTCCATATTTTGACTTATATTTCACATAAAGCAATATGGTAACACACGCACGCACGCACGAATACACAAAATACATACTACATATGCACATAAAACTGAACACGTTCCTACAGTATTAACACTTTCGCACATGTGATCACTTATGAAATATTTTCAATGTGCTCTTTATCATTTTATGCTGAAGTTATATTATGATTTTTTCAGGACAGTTAAACTTCTAGAAATGCAGCTGTGCCCTCTTTACAACAATTGTAGATGAAGCAAAGTATGGTAGCAAGTTATATAGATGTAAGTTCACGTATATACATTGTTGTTTTTTTGTGAATAAAATAAGACATTTACACGGACGTACTGTCTGTAAAGTAGAGTTACCCAGACTCATATATTCCACTCTGTACTAACATCATGTGTTTTATTCTTTCTCAAGGAAAAATCAAATTTCTTTAATTACACGCATTTATTTTGACAAGAATAAATGTGCTTAGTTATAATTACATTGGTTCTCTTTTATATCTTGTTAGAATCAATTCTTAGGCGGAATGATGTAACACTCCATAAAATGATGTCAATTAAGGCATATATGATATAAGCATTTTGCCGCGCATTTGAAAATGCTAAACCATACTTGCTTTTAATATGCAAAAATCAAATATATAAAATATAAGAATTAACTCGAACACACACAATGGATTGATGTAGATGCACTGTGCATGCGACTTTATTTTATTAAATTAGTTTTCTTTTCTTAAACATATTACTGTATTAAAAATATGTATTTCTTTACAGTTTAATCACTTTTATATATGTTAATGATAGTAATTATTTTAGTTACTACGTGCGTAAAGCGATAAGTACGCCGCTTTAATAATGTGTGAGTGACTTTACATTTTCTTTTGTACATGTACACTAAAGTTAACAACATTTGTCTTAATAGGTAAAACAGGGTTTTCAAAGCGAATATAATGTCAGATAAGAAACAGAATTTAAAATGTCTTGATGGAAAAGTTAGAATGTCATACACATTAAATTTTATCACAAGTTCGAGCCTCACAAATTGTCTTTACTTTTTTGCGTTTTTCTTTCCATATATTTTTTTTTTAATTTTACATTAGAAAAATGAATTGGGATAGAAAGGCAGTTTTGTTATGATATTTAATAATTTAGATATACATGCACGGATGATAGTGATTTTTATCCTGTATAGTGTGTAGTATGTAGTAGTCATAGTACTTTTGCAGTGCAATAGTATTTCGTGCAAACTTAACTATAGTTGAAACAGTCTGTGTACAGTATCATGCATTCCGTATAAGTTTGCACCAACTTACTAAATATAGCTACATTTAAAACACAATGAGAAGTTAATAGAAAATATCACAGCATTTATAATCTTTACAATAAATGATACAAAACTTTCATTACCTGATTGCAATTGATAATTATAAAGCAATATTTTTGGGAAAAAAGTGCAATCCGAGCCTAGCTGTCTTGTATTGATATTTACCACAATCTTACCTACTGCATTACATTGGTTAATTTGTTGATAATTAAATTTATATAGCTAGCCTGTTTGAAGATAATAAACACAATATGATAGCTGTTTTACACCTGGATAGTGGACTTGACCACCTCGTCACTTAATTATCATACTAAACGCACAGTACTTGTTCGCACGTGAAACATATTGTGTTGATACGTAAATGTTTCACGTGCGCACGTAATAGTCGCATTCGCATGTATTATCTAAAATATTTCCTATGTTCTTTTATGCAATTGTCACATATGATACGTATATTTTATTATCTGAATTTGATTTCATACTATCAGATTAATGCTATAGGCAAGGGAGGATATTTTAGAGATGGCACACTGTAAGAGATTCTATTGTCAACTTACCTAGTTAAACAGTCTTAACAATAAAAAAAATATTAATCTACACTATTGTTTATTGAAGGTATTCATTCGTTGCTGAGATAGCTTTTGAAACAATTGAAATTGAAACAAACAATAATCCAAATTTGTTAAAATTAACATTTTTTATATACATGAGAAGTATAGCTGAGTATTCCGCCTTTTACTTAACTGGATATCATTGTGCAAACACGGATCTACATCTAAGTAACAAATATCTGTACTTTTTAAGCCTTTTTTCAAACGAATTGACTCATACTAACGATGCTAATATACATCGTAAAACGATCAAAAAGATAATGTCAGCACTTTTTCCCCCAATACAATGTTATTGTGTATTAATATATTTTTAATCAATAAAACACTCTTTACATAGAACAAAGATACCATTATCATTTATATTACAGGTGTGAAATAAATATATATTCGTAAAGGTTTTTTAACAAAAACATATAACTTATCACCCGTCATAGATTAATCATTTCATTTAAATCCTGTGTAAATGGTTGCTTATAAATGACATATTTATTCTAATAATATAAAATAATTTTGAAATTTGCGTTAGAAAAAAAAATGTATATATGTATACGCTTAAAAAATGCTTGTATATAGTCTTATCAAAGTTGTGATAACTATTTCACGACACTATTTAAACAGGATTTTGAACTCTCTTTTTCAGATACACACATGCCGAAGAAGATTGTAATATCTGGAGATAACATTTCCTACGTCACGAAATAGACACCGTCACACTGGTCTACGTAACATTCCTATAGATGATTGATATATTTAAGTGCTTTTAAGAACTGTGTTTGAATGACGAATTTCTGTGAATACGGATTTTTAGTTTTAATGATTATTATTAAAACTTTCTGTAATAATCAATTTGTGATATGGACTCATTTTCCTAAAATAATATGTGAATGTTAACACGAACAAATGATATGAATATCTTTAAAATATTTTATGGGTGTAATACAAGTGGCTCATAAAAATCATTGTTAAGATAAATAGAATCAAACTTCAAGTTGGTATAGTTTGTTCTACATTTAAACAACATGCAATTCATAAAGGTTACGGCTTGAAAATATCGAAACATGTACATGTATAACTCGATCTCTAAAGAAAATATCGCAGTGCGGATTTTCTCCACTGTGATACGTATTTCATGACTCTGTATCGCATCATACCGTTATATCGCCGTTCCGTTGCAACGCTACATTAATTTGTCCCTCTGGAATAAGGCTTGCAACAATATATGACTGTTGTAGCGAAGACATGTTTATTTTGTTTAATATATGTATACATATTGAATATATGTTTATGAAGTAATAAATATTTAAGAGTGACTCGATTTGGTTTTTACTTTATTATTTGAAATACTCCAATTGTGAAGATAACGTTCTTAAGCATATGACTTTACAGTTCCCATTCAAAATGTGTAATAAAACATGTTCTATTGTACAAGTCTGCATTTTGGTCATGTATACGTGTCACTTATATGTAAATGCATGCTTTTGATATTATCTGTATCTTCTTTTATCAAGAAAATACAGTTCTGTATTCCCTGTGGACAACTAAAAAATCCAATTCCGTATATCCCCTGTATATATTGAAAATACGATTCCGTATATCCCCTGTATATGTAGAAAATACCATTCCGTATATCTTCTGTATATGTAGAAAATACGATTCCGTATATAATCTGTATATGTGGAAAATACGAGCCCGTATATCCTCTGTATATGTAGAATATACGATTCCGTATATCCTCTGTATACTTAGAAAATACGAGTCCGTATATCCTCTGTATATGTAGAAAATACGGGCCCGTATATCCTTGGTATATTTATAGTATACTAGGGATAGCAACCTTAATATAGTCCGTATACGGGATTTTATTCTCCGTATACTTCAAAAGTACGAACAAATATACGTACATGTATATGGGGCAAATACGGAATTCCGTATATGCCTGATGCATATACGGACTTCCCGTATACCCGGTGTTCCCTATACGGACTCGTATACTTGGTCCGTATATTCGACGAATACATCCCGTACACGCCCGTACATGTCAAAAATACGGGACCGTATATTCCCGTATATCAGTATATTTTTCGCAGTGCTGCCAGCAAAACTTCGATTACTTATCCGACTTATTAACAATTTAGCCACGTCACCATTTCATGTAGAAAGGTGCCCGTTATGTCACACTTGAATGTTAAGCAACTTATTAACATAACAGACTCTAGTATACTCTTTTATGGATGAGAAATTTCGAAATTAATTTAAAACAAACAAATTCTTATAAACATACAAAAACATACACTTACACCTCATATTGCATCATTGTACAATTTGTCACGTCGCTATATGTCGAAGGATAGGTTCTATTAGCGTACCACTTGAGTGTAAACCAACTCATTAACATTATAGAGTAATAAACTGTTTTTTAAGTATTTTATGAATAAGGAATTTTAAGGTAACTTAAGACAGACAAAGCCATAAAACTACATTTAATGCATTCAATCTATTTTCTTATTCAAACTATTAAGAGTAAATCTAATAATCAAGTCACTTCATTCATGTCTGTTACGTTTTTTAGCTCACCTGAGCACGAAGTGCTCAAAGGTGAGCTTTTGTCATCACTCTGCGTCCGTCGTGCGTCGTGCGTCGTGCGTCCTTCAAAAAATGGCGTCAAACTTTTCAAACAACATCTCCTCCTAAACTACATGGCCAATTGCAACCAAACTTTACAGAAATGATCCTTAGGTGGACCCCTTTCAAAGTTGTTCAAAAATTTAAATTCCATTAAAAACTCTGGTTGCCATGGCAACCAATAAGAAAAACTAAAAAAATCTTCTTCTAAAAAACCGTACGAGCTAGAGCTTAGATATTTGGCATGAAACATCTTCTAATGAGTGCCTACCAAGTTTGTTCAAATCAAAGCCCTAGGGTCAAAATTGGCCCCGCCCCAGGGGGTCATTGATTTTCCCTATATGCATATAGTAAAAACTTAAAAAATCTTCTTTTAAAGAACTCAAAGAGCTAGAGCTAAGATATTTAGCATGAAACATGTTCTAATGGGTGTCTACCAAGTTTGTTCAAATAAAAGCCCTGGGGTCAAAATTGGCTCCGCCCCGGGGGTCATTGATTTTCCTTATATGTGTATAGCAAAAACTTAAAAAATCTTCTTTAAAAAAAACCAAATAGCTGGAGTTTAGCTATTAAGCATGAAACATCTTCTAGTGAGTGTCTACAAAGTTTGTTCAAATCAAAACCTTAGGGTCAAAATTGGCCCCGCCCCGGGGGTCATTGATTTTCCTTATATGACTGTGTATAGCAAAAACTTAAAAATCTTCTTTAAAAAAAACCAGATAGCTAGTGTTTAGATATAAAGCATGAAACATCTTCTAGTGAGTGTCTACCAAGTTTGTTCAAATAAAAGCCCTAGGGTCAAAATTGGCCCCGCCCCAGGGTGTCTTTGATTTTCCCTATATGCATATAGTTAAAACTTAAAAAATCTTCTTTTAAAGAACCCAAAGAGCTAGAGCTAAGATATTTAGCATGAAACATCTTCTAATGAGTGTCTACAAAGTTTGTTCAAATAAAAGCCCTAGGTTCAAAATTGGCCCCGCCCCCAGGGGTCATTGATTTTCCCTATGTGCATATAGTAAAAACTTAAAAAATCTTCTTTTAAAGAACTCAAAGAGCTAGAGCTAAGATATTTAGCATGAAACATGTTCTCATGGGTGTCTACCAAGTTTGTTCAAATAAAAGCCCTGGGGTCAAAATTGGCCCCGCCCCGGGGTTCATTCATTATCTTGACTTTTTTTTTTTTAGATATATACATATTATATATATACACATATATATTTAATATATATATATATATATATATATATATATATATATATATATATATATATATATATATATATATATATATATATATATATATATAAATGTATATATATATATATATAGATATATATATATACATATATATATACATATTATGTATATATATATATATATATATATATATATATATATATGTATGTATGTATATGTATATACATATATATATATATATATATATATATATATATATATATATATATATATATATATATATATATATATATATATTACAGACCTGGGGATGATTACATTGATCAGTAATTGATTTAATTACAATTACTTTCAGATTTTATTGTAATTGATTATTATTGATTACTCAGACTTGCCTCTGTAATCAATTGAATTACAATTATTATAAGAGAGTAATTGATTGATAATTGATTACATTCAATGTAAAGTAGAATCCGCACTAATGACCACCCCTGAATTAAGACCACCCCCTTAATAGAGATTTTTAGCTTGAGCCGATACCGATAGACGAAGACGGAGACGGCTAACTTTTTAAGGGGGCGTTTCAAAATGATTTCTTTTTTTAAAGAAAACAGAAGGCCAAGCCAAATATAATATTTGCATTTATTTCTATTACAAAAAGCCGTTGATATGTGTTTTCTGAATATCTAATTTGATTCATCAGAAGATTTCTCATCATCAAGCTGGTGAAGCAATATTGGAACTTTGTTTTTAATAAATTCGTTGAAAAATAATTGATTTTCCCAAATAATGTCAGCAAGCGGCCTCGTTTTTCTTCTCTGTTTCTGTGTACGTGGGGGGAGTAAGGTCTTCTTCTTGTGATGATGAAAGTCCATTAGCAATGTTTTTCCTTAGATCAGCTGATCCTGATGTGACTGACCTACTACTTGACTGGCCTATTGTTCTCTCGTGTCGATCCCGGCATTCTGAAGATGGTGGGCAATAGCATCTAATGCAGCTCCTGTACAGGATGACCGAAACTAAAACGCATGATATTAATAGACGTTTAATGCGCATATTTGTATGTAACGAGATAACAAAAAGCAAAAGGGTAAACCGATAAGAGAAGCAGAATATGAATTATATTGTGAAAGTTACAGATCTAATGTTTTGTTGTGTCTTTTTTTCACCTTCCATTTTACATGTCGACAAACATTAGTGTTACATTGCCCATGTGAACTCCGTGAGGGAAATTTCCCTTTATATGAATAATAAATTGTGCAATAAGATAATAGTAGTTTATGAAGTATGGCTAAACTTATTTTAACACAATTTTTTATGTCACATCAAAATGAATACTAAAAATTCCAGGCATACATGTGTCTTATGTCACAATGGACAATGAACCAATCAAAGCAATGAGTAACATTTTACCGGCTTTGGCTAAGACTCCCCCGACATCACCAATTACTTTGGACTTATTTGCATGATCTTAGAACTCATTCGAGCACCGCCTTACCCGATACTAAATATAAGTTATATATTTTTTTGGAATCGTTAAAGACATTTTAAGTGGCAGAAATGTGTTTTCTTTTATCTCTTTCAAGTGACCGGGGGAACTGCTGAGACCTTTTTTTTTTTAGATCTGTTAGAAAGTATTCGTATTTCATCATACAAGCCTAGCTCTTAAACTTCTTTCAAGAAACATAGCTCTTCTTGTGCGTATGTGGTTTCGAACATATCAGAAGTTTATGATGCTTTTGTCATTGTTCAACATATCAGTGCCAAGTGTGACAATCCCGATTTTTTATTTACGTCTAATTTTTTGTCGTTGCTACAGGTTCATGAGTGGTTAGCCATGAGAGGCACCTGGAACAGAATTTCAATAGCCGTGATAGCAATTGATGGAACTTCTTATGGAATCAGTAGCCCTATGCTTGAATGAAACACAAGAATAGTTTTATTCGGGACATCGAATATAAGATATATACGAAGGGGGTTTCCTGGTCACTATAACGATGCCCAGCAGTATTACTGTTACCTCAAATCGGCACTAATGAGAGTGCGTTAAACTTGTCGATAAAATTTATCCTACTTATGCCCATATTATGACACCATACATGTCAGCTCAAATACGCCGTAAATAAGGGCCTAAACATAGAAAGTGCCTGTAGTAAATTATTGTGTATGTCTTGAACACTTAAACGTTACAGGCCAATTTCTAGTGTATGAATAAATAAACAATTGTATATATTTGTACTTATCTTACTTGCCATAAAAAAAAGATTATAGCATTTACTGTATTTGATTGAATGATAAATATTTTGAGATAACCCCCGGTTACTATAACCGTTGTTCGTCTCCGGCTATCGTTATCCGTACAAGCTGTAAATCTCTAATAAGACTATTTTTTACAAGGTTCGCTATGTCAATGGTTACATGATCCAGAATTAAAAACAACTGCTTATCCACTTTCAAGACCACCCGATTCAGTCCAAAATCTTTACTTTCTTTGTA